TGATTACTAAAAAGCTTTGTGGGAATTTATTGGCACCAGGGTGAATTTATCCGGTAAGTTTTTCCTCATAAAACTGTATCTTGGTGTGTGTTAGTTTTTCAATTTTAGTATTGAAAGATTTGTTCAGTTTACACGTCCGTAATGCACACCCGCCTTGTTTTGCAAACCACCAATAACGTTTACAAGAGGCAGTTTTCAAGAACCAATCAAATTTCATGAAGATAAGCGACCTGAGAGCGCGACTCGCAACGATGCCATTGCTATCGCATCCCGTGTGTCGGGTTTCACCCTGGCTGCGAAGACAGCCGTTAATCGCTGTAGTTTGATGTCCCCGTGTGTCGAGCCCTTTAGACGTTTGTCTGGATGAAAATCTGAGAATCTTTACTTTTTTAATTGCTCCGGTTTCAATATTTTTCTTCAAGACCGCTTGTAGCTGTTTCACAGGAAGCTTTAGGGACAGAAAAATGATCATTTCTGCTCTCTAATGATGTTATGATCGAAGGTTTAAATTCTTACAGAATAATTTATTTTTGTTTTATTGTATATAGAATTTATTCAGTTTTATTATGAAATAAACTTGTGAAAAAAGAAGAAAGTTGAGCTCCAGCAGCTGGAGCCTCTTCAGCTGATCGTCCATCACAGCTCTTTTTGTGAAAAATCATTCTGACTCACACTGAAAAGTCAAATAAACTTATATTAAATACTGGCAGAGAGAAGATGGAGTAATAATACACATTACTTTTCAGAGGGACACAATAATTTTGTGTGTGTTGAAGCAGTGAATTATGTAATTTATTTGTTAAAGGTTGAACATAAGAGCTTAGACCTGACCTTACCTGATTTTAGTACGTTTTTATATTTAATTTTTATTTTCTGCCATGTTTAGAACCAGCTGGGTTCAACTACACACACATAATGCACACACTCACTTTTATCCACTTGAAGAACAAAAGTAAAAATAAATATAAAGAATAAAAGTTTAGATTCATGTAAAATCATAATCATTGACTTGATCAATTATCTGCCACACTAGCTGCGTTTCCATTCACCATAAAAAAGCTCAAATTAGAATTTCAAAAATTAATTTGCTCAATGAAAACACGTCAATTTCGAAAAAACTTCCTATTTTCGACAAAATGTTTTTGCGCCAGGATGAGGTGGTTTTTCAGCCGTATCGAAACTGGTGTTTTTCGCAAAACTGCAATGGAAACATTTTTTTTGCATCACAGGCGTCACGTGATCAACAACTCTGTTTCTACTGGTGAAAAAGACAACAAAGAAGATAACAGGAAGTAGAAATAGTAGTGAAATCACCGAAGTTGTAAAATAACGTATTAAACTCACCGACTACAATTTCCCAAAAGCTCTGCATACGTAGCCGCTCCAAAATATAAGAGGCTTGTCGCTGGAAAGCCTTGATAAAAGATGCCGACGTCTCCTCTGATGATGAGCGCTAGTGCCATAGTAGCAACATGCTATGTGTTTACATCCACTGCCGCCATGTTTGTAATGACACTGCGAGAACAAACTTACTTAATGGAAACACTGCAGTTGCGAAACTGTGTTTTTCGACATTAACAGAAAAGTTTTGCGTACATTTGAAATGGAAACGCAGATAATGACCCTCTTTCTCTTGCAGCAGCAACAGTATTACTTTTTTATTTTTTAAATATATGTTGATATTCTCCATATGCCGTCATTAATATTTGAGTTTCAGCGCAAGAAATGGACTTCCTGTCTTCTTATTTTCTCCTGTTACATGGTGAATCATGTTATCTGACGTCCATTGATGAGGGCTTCCTGCTCCAACTTAACTCAGGGTAACTTGACTCAGGATTAAGTTATCCAGATGATATCAGCTGTTCTGAAACTGAAAATCTAAACCAGGGGTGGGCAGTCCTAGTCCTGGAGGGCCGCAGCCCTGCATGTTTTACTGGTTTCTCTGCTCCAACACACCTGATATGAATGAATATATGATTATCAGGCTTCTGCAGTATGGAGGACCAAAACTGACATCATCAGAAATAAAAGCAGAATTGTATAAATGAACTATTAAATAAATACACTTAAAGGCACCAATTAGAGAACTTTATCTCCTGTTTTATATTTTAATTGATGTTCATATTTATTTTTCCAGGTTAGTTTCAATAAATTAGTCTTTATATTTTAACATATAATTTAAATTTGACTTTTTTTTTTACAAATGTATTAATTGTTTTTCCTTTACTTGTACATGCATTTGTGTGTCTTAAATGTTTATACTTAATTATGTTTACATTTTTTTCAATAAGTCTTTTTATTTCAATGTGATGCCTGCTTGTTGTGCCT